ACTCGGCCCAAAATTATTGGTCTTTGTAACTCAAACTCTGTATGTTTTCTAATAAACACCCTTTCAAAAAGTTTTGCTAAAATCTACGACACGCTTGATACTCGCAACCTAAAAAACTTACCCGCTTGATACTTGCAACATAAAAAACTTACCAATCACTTACTAAAATGGAATTACTCGGTTCAACATTCTTAACTTTGAACGAACCCCAAAAGGCTTTTTAGACTGTCAGAACGAGGTTGATAAAAGCAGAATTGTTTCGTGTTTCTTCAAATTTGCTTCAAGAGCATTCAATTTTTACCTAAATTTCTTTGGAAACAAAAATTCACGGGACCCGAGATTTATGTACATTTCCAGGATGACGCTGATGAATGTGTTCGATATGTTTGACTTTGATAGCGATGGTCTCCTGTCTCGAAATGAATATTCTGCTTTTGCCATTGCTACAGCTGACACACCCCCAGACGATGAGGTAAACAGGTTACATAACCTGTAGATTTTTTGGAGCATAATGTGGACGAGACTGCAAGAATTGCATCTTTTTAGGCGTAGGAGTAAACCTGAGAAAGTAATTTGCACAATGCTTTTACTCATAGAAACTTTCTCACATCGAAGACTTTTGGAACAGACTTTATCGATTCAAATATCTGTCTTGTTTCGGAAACCCCACGGATTGTAATGGAACAGTGAAAATTAGAACATTCTAGGCATTCCTAATCGTAAAATTCTAAGAGTCACCAAAAATTTTCCTAGTTTTTCTGCACATCAACAGTCACTTCATTGCAGGAATGGCAGCTTCTGACTAGCCAATTTGATGCACGAGATGAAGCTTTAACAATGGTCGGCTTTCTGTTTATGCACGAGGTAAACAGAATCTTATGTAATATCACTGATGCTTTCCGCAGTATCAGTGATGCTTTCCAGTGTGAAGCGTTTTCTGGAGATGATCTGGCTGTTCCTGACATATGGGAGTCACTGTATAGATTGGGTTACGACAGTAATCTACAATTACAGTATGTGAGTTTTTGTATTCGGGAATTTTTTTTTGCTTTGCATCATATAACTGCATATAATTGACAGTGAGAGAAATACTACATGTAACGGGGGTGGTCTAGTGGTAAATCCCGGTATGAA